ATGGGAACGCAGTCAATCGATAAATCGATTTGGCGCCGGCGTACAGAACCGTGTGCAGTCAACTCCAAACTTCCATTATGAATAATTTATCGGCGTGCATTCCCTATAATTGCCAAATTCGTGCTGCTACTGCTACCTCTGGCGGTGGACTTCTGTACGAGACTGAAAACTCCAGATAATAAAAACAAAACCGATTCGGAGCTCAACCAGTCTGCTTCTTTACTTATGCAGACGCCTGGAATGCGAACCTTCACATCCACAACACCCTAAGCTATAGCAAAATGCTGTTACACCCAACTGTTCCCAAATGAAAGACGTGAAATACTTCAGAAACCCCGGAGTTTCTTCTGAGAGACAAATAAAAAAAAGACTGCCTTCTATGTCGATACAATCATTGAGTCGTAACCAGTCTTCAGAAATGCCAGTGGAACGGATGTGAGAGTGATAGTATCACTGATGCATGGGCCAGTAACACTGATGAGCGAACTTTGCTCCAGCATCGAATAAAAAGTCGAACGGGAGCGGGTACCGAAGGTTTTCGACAACCGCCGTCTCATAGGCCTCCTATGTCCAAAAAAGAGAGATCTCGTTGTGAAGGGCGTGATCCGTTCCGAGCAAGGTGAACTGAACCAAACTCTCCGAGTATTGGAGGTGGGAAAAAAGTGCGGCGATCGTCCAACAAATTCAGGACAACTGTTAGGAGTCTTAACCCACAGAGTCGGCGGAAATGTTCCACGGCGGTTAGTGAAAAAGCGATTTAAGTAGCTAATGGGATTTTTAATGGACTCTGTGCTCTATCGTACTGGGTATCGAGGACTGAAGGTGACTGAAGTTCGCCATAGACATCCTAAAACCCACCACAGGTGAAAATGAGTACAAGTATTTGAGTCATATCTCTATGATTCAAAACCAATCGTACCTGTTTAGGAGTGAGCTCGTCAATGTTTTCAGGTCGTCCACGGCGGAGTCTCTGTCTCTCAAGGACTGCTAGGAGCAAAGTCAAAAAATTCTCCAAATTTGCTGGGGCTGAAGATCCGGCGGTAGCCGATTCGATTTCGTCGATTGGTTTTTGGAATTCCACCGCCATTTGATCGAGCGTTTTAGTTTGTTGAACATATCCAGGCGGCGGCCTACAAGCAGACTCAGCCTCAACAGCAGAGATATCCCCTGCAGCGGTCGTATCGCTGTGATCGCCAGGACCGAAATCGACTCCTTCAAGCGTGAGGCCTGAGAAGCAGGAGGGAAGAGAGCGAGACAAGCGAAGACGATCCGGCTGTACAATCTCGGAGGTTCCGAACAAGGCGATAGAGACCGACCTACAGTTCCGCTCCTAAATAATTAATAATACACCATAGTAATGAGAAACTTGAGACAGATTCAGTGAAGAAGAACAATAAACAGGAAAGC